ATGTGCCACAGTAATCAAGTAAACAACGGAATAAGAAAATAAGGGGAATCTCTGAACCAGAGAAACAAGAGATTTTGACGGCATCCAAAATGAAAAACGGCCTGGTCACTCGGTAATTGGGACCGAACTGCCCAGCAGTTGCCAATCGCTTTCCGTCCTCCGGGTCCACTCTGTGCACCTCTCGACAGTCGATATCCGTACCTTGCACCATCCCGCCTTACCTTCCGTGCCTTGGCCTTCCTTCCACTCTTGTGAAGAGAAAGTGATGTGTCGTCTCCCTCCCGTTCGTGTTTAATGACGATTCTCCCATAACTTCCGGCTTCAATCTTCGACAATTCGACCCCACACACAGAACACAGACTGGAGACTGGACGGACGACTCCTAACAAAGGGGGGAACAACCCAAAGAAACAGACTCGGGAACCCGCTTGAAAGAGCCATGCAGTGAAGTCATTATCAGATGCTTTTGCCGTTTTCCTTTTTGCTTTACCGTCCAAGCACTCGCACCCTAACCAACCACGTCTCTCAATTTGCAAATGCTGCCAAGTCAAGGTATGGATTACCTCTCCATCCAAAGGGCCCAACCTGACTGACTTGCTTTCCCAGGTACCTCGTCTCTGCCTCACCCGTCGCCCTGAAAGAAAGTACCGCCGCAGGGTGCCCTTTGTGTCGCCCGGCAAGAGTCCCGACGGTGGCCTCCGCACCTCCTCTGCCCAAAACGGCGCCTCCAGGGTTGATACTGGTTGCCTTCCATATGCAAACCCTTTCCCAGAAACACGCCAGCTACCTCATCACCTTGCAAGCCCGCTGCTTAGTTGACAAAGAGTAACACCCATTGCTCCATTCATAGCTTCGTTCTTGGGATGCTCCCCCAATGGGAAAAAGAAAACTCCCGACTGGCCCCCCAGCAGCATCAGCACCGCCCACGAAAGCTCCAGCTCTCCTCCCAACTGGCTGGCCTCGACTGCTCCAGAGACGCACAATGACAGAACCGCGAAGCCTTCGGGTACGCGGCCCTCCCTCTGACCAAACGGAACGAATCCCACAGTTACGTTTCGAACGCGCCTTCAACGGGGTTCCGTCGTCCCACGCATTCTAGAACGCATTCTAGACCACCATCGCCCACGCTCTCACCTCCAGCTCTTCCCACAATTCCCCAGCTGCTCCATCTAACATCAAGATCGGAACCAAAGCCAAAACGCAAATGAGGCATTTATTCCAAGTCACTGAGAATGCAATCTCTCATATTACACCTCTCGACGACGTGAGCGACTTTGTCAAGTCGACGCCGTCCATCATTTCACATTATGGATCGGCATCCACCCCGCCGCTGCAGCTTGACCAAGCTTGTCAACGACGCCGCCGTCTTGGCACTCTATGGCAAACTCGCGACAATCACATCAAGCTACCACCTGCAACCCGCTGGACCCCCAATTTTAAAAACAGAAACCCTACAAGGCTGCTGAGTCTGTCAAGGTCTGATAAGCGGTCGCCAGCCTCGAGAATGACAGTGATAGCAACAACACCCTTGTTGACCCTGCGTCGATCATCCTCGGCTTTCTTGGTGTCTCTTTTCCCAGCTGCCGCGGTGTCGACTCAATGTGTCCGACTCAAAACAGACATTGCCATCGTCTCTACTTGACCAAGGTTGTTGTTCATCGCAACCCCTTTTTTTTTTTTTTTTTTTTTGCCGCGGCACAGCCACTTTCTTGTTTCTTTTCGTCTCGTCTGGACTTTCTCCCAGCTGAACCTCCTTCCTCGGCTGTAACGGCCGAAAAGGAAGGGGGAAAGTGTAGACGCTGCCCGTGATGCCCTGCATCGCCAGATTTTCTTCAGGAAATCAAATTAATTGAAGGCGAGGCCAAAGACACCCGTGAAGGATAATCAAACCCGCCTTCAAGATGATGTTCCCCAACTCGTTGTCTGGGTTTCAGGCCCCATGCCGACCCATCCGGATGAGACGTTCCCAAAAATGTCCAAGTAGGCCCTTTCACGAACGTCTCACACGCCAGGGCTAAGCCGTTCCTCACCTGGCTCACCCGAACCAACTTCCAGCCAAAGACAAGCTCACGCGCGGATGTTCGCGCGTGCATAGGAAGACAGCCATCCGCCAGCAGTGGGACGAAGGAGAGAAAAAAACGTTGGGCCTAGTATCCAGTCTCCCGGGTGTCAACCACCAACTAAGACCCGAGGAGGGGGGGAAGCCATCTTCGTCGTATGATTCCGGCGAGCGCCCTCGTTTCTCAGACCATTTCGTATCTGGACGTCTTCTCGGAGAGTCGGGTCCCGAAGGAAGCGACCTACCTCCTGTCATCCCCAGCGTCCATGTTACCATTTCACCTGGCCCATGCGACTTCGTCCTGGGGAATCGCACGACGTCTCACTGCATTTCCAATTCCTGCCAGGGACCACAGCACGAAACGCAACCTTATCTGTCTCATGATTCTCAACCTCCAGACGAGGCAAAGGGAAATTTCGCGATCAAACCCACCAGATCTCAATGTTCATCTCAAACTTTGAACCCCCGTGCGCCGTAAACCACCATCCAGAGGTTCTCTCTCCCCGTAGTACAGCATTCCACTCTGTGTCGAGCCGGAATTGCCTCCGAGACGCTTGCTGACTGGCCGGCCGCCCCCTTCCTGCTTCCTCCAAAAGATCCCATCTTCATTTCCCAAGTGAAAAAAGCCCGAAACCCCGATCGCCGTTCCTCTCCCGCCGGCCAACAAGCGCACGATCCTCTCACACTGGTTCGCCAACGTCACGCCGTCTCCCAGCCGAACCTAAATCGGCGCTGCTTAACTTCGCCGACTCTTTCCGCAACGGGCAAAGACTCGACCTAACCGTCGCTGTCCGTCGTGTGTCCGTCACTTGCGTGAAAAGTAGACAAAATCCTTCCTTCCTCACCCCCAATCCCCAAGACCTAGATAAACTTCCACGCTAGAGAGTCCTTCCGATCTGACGCCCGTCCTCCGTCTTACGCCAGACTCACATTAGGATTCGAACTACAGTTCGCTCGGCCGAGAAGAGGGCTGCGTGGCGCCTCCACATCATCCTTCAATCCTCTGGAATCACGCTCCCTTTTCTCCCCATCCATGGAACGAGGGATACTTCCCGAGAGTAATTGCCTAGGCTCCTGGTGAGTTTGGAGGCACAAAGATCAGCTTGACAACCCAAAATCATAAGATGCACCCCCCCCCCCCCCCCCTACACCGTGATTCTTCATTATCAGTCATCAGCAATCCGATCTTTCGCCGAAAACTTCTGCAAACATTGGGCTGGGTTCTGCAGGAAGGTCGTGAAGCCGGAACTTGCCATGCTTATGGAGCCATCTGGCCCTCCAAACCGCCAACTTAAAGGTATGGAATGTGTGCCTTTATCTAGGAAGGCAGCAGAGAGGCGGACGAACCCAAAATGCGGACGATCCTCGCCGGAATCATTGGCTTCATCCGAGCTCCCGGAACGTTGTCCCGTTCTAGTTCGCCTTACGATCTTGGGTAGCACCGCCATCGTCATCGTCGTCCGCGCTTCGGAGCAGTGTGGTGATTTTCTGGACGAAAACTTGTTCTAGACGCCCATCCGCGTATCCTCAGACTTCGTCATTGTGTGTGCGCGTGTGTGCCTCCGACCCGGATGTTCCATCTACTTTCTTCCCGCGCGCGGGGTAGGTACGGTCTGGGCCTTGGGGCTGACAGCTGTCCTGGTGCTCGGGCCCGGCGTCTGAAGTCGGGAAAGGACGCAGACGTCGACTTCGGTAGGCGCCTGGCGAGTGCTGTCTTTGAGCGTGAGTGTAATCAACGTATCCGTGAAGCTGGACTGTGTATCGGAGGCCGTTGTCGGAAACGGGCCTTCGCGGGCAATTTTTGTCAGCTTAGTGATGTTGTCGACGACGTGGTACTGCTGTGATACTGTCCACATTTTTGAACCGGCACGCAACTTTGCTGTGATCGTATGCCTAACGCTCACGGAGATGTGTCTGGTGCAAGACTAGACATAGATGACTGGACAATCAATGGGATTGTCGTCCCGTATGTGCGTATAAAAAGACTTAGTCCAAAGTTGCGATGCTGTGATTGTGTGTCCCATCGTGAGAAACCGGGTTGAGAGCTTAGCTCGAGTGACAAGATGAGGGAAAGGGGAGCATTGCATTTGCCACACCCGTCTCAAATGGAAGGTACTGTGCTGCCAGTACAATTGCTTGGATAACATTTCAAGTTTCGGCTATCATCTTGTCTCCAAGGCAGGTATCTTAGCAGCCATTTGCAACTTGGTGTCATGATATCACGGATTGCCAACATGGTGTTGCTAGTTCATGATGGGGGCGCATTTCATAGCAGTAAGTTATCTTGATTGATCAATGTAAAGATGGTCGTCTTTTCTTACTTAGCAAGTAGGTATGAATGATTTCACCTGAGTGGTTTCAATCTCTGCATGATTATTGTCTACGGGAAAAGCTTCCGGGTTACTTCTACTTGGTGGTAAAGGGATTAGCAAGTTCAGGGGTAGGTAAAAGGTCTTCGAAGGGTAGCCGCGTCGCAACAATCGCAACTTCCTTCCTTGGGTAGGAAAACACTGACATGATCCAGGCCAACGGGTGAGTGAATCACTGGGAGACAGACAATCTCAACCTACCTCGAGGGAAAGAACAACCCATAGGTGCGCCTTCCTCTTACACCTGCCTCCTCCCTCAACCGCCTTCCCACAAAATCTTTTTTGAACGTGGTCCTCTCTCACCTTTCTGTTTACCACCTTCCCTTCCCTTCACAACACCTCACCTGGGAGAAAAACAAACCTCTTTCTTCCTTCCGCAACACATCTTCACAGACACAAGGTACGCTCTCAAACACACCTTCTCCCCCCTTTCACTGTCTGATTGTTCCCTCAAAGTCATCGCCTTCCCCGTGAAAAGAAAACTCTTGGCAGTTTCTTTTTGTTTTGCACAAAACACACATCCCACCTGCTTCTTGGATCTTCTTGGAAAGAACGCCTTGGAGATCATCAAGATGGACGGTGTGAACCATCCCTTCTCCTTCCGCTGCGGCGACAGCGAGTTCGCCTTTAGAAACAACCTGGGCGCAGACTCTCTGACCCTTACTTGGACTGCCCCTGGCAAGAACGATAACGTCAACAACAACCCTGCCGGTAACCAGGCCATTGTCCACCAGAACATCGACGGTAATGCCAATGCTGGAGACAATGGTAATGGAGCCAACGACGAGGGAAACGACCACAAGAGACGCCGCGTCCACGTGGAGATTGAGAAGCATCGCGTCACTGTCCTAAAGCTCGGATCCGACGTGGCCTTCGACTTCAAGTCTGCCGCTGCCGAGTCTGAGAGACAGCTGGCCAACACCATCACCGAGCGCGACCAGCTCCAGGCCCAGCTTACCAACTTTGCTGGTGCCCGCGACAACTTGCAGCAGCAGTGTGACGACTTGAAGAAGCAGCGCGACCGGTACTATATCGAGCTCGTCACCGTCACCAATACGAACATCAGACTCCAGGCGTCGCACAACAACCTGCGCACCCAGCATGAAGCCCTCCTGGGTCAGAATGCTCAGTTGAAGACCGAGCTTGCCGCCTCTCAGGCCAACGTTCAGGTTCTGCTCACCAACGATCGTGAATACCAGAAGCTCAAGGGAGAGCACGCTACTCTCAAGAATGACAATCAGGCTCTGAAGAACGAGTATGAGACCCTTCAAGAGCAGCACACGACTCTCAAGGAGGACTTCGAGGGCCAGAGCCAGGAATGGGAGTACTTTCTTGGAAACCTACACCATGACGTAAATGAGGGAGGATTCGAATGCCAGATTGAGCAGGCAGAGGCAGAGGTCCGCGAAGTCCGAGACCAGATGGATGATCTCCAAGATGAGTACCGTCGTCTCGAGTCCGACAAGAACGAAGCTCTGCAGCATCTCGAAACTGCTCTATCCGAGCTGCAGGAGGCTAAAGAGGAGGCCCAGAACCTCAAGAACGAGGTCGCCGAGCAGAAGGAGACTGTGGAGTACGTGCGCATTATTGAGAAGATGCTCGAGAAGGTCGCCAATGCGAAGAAGGGCGTTGAGGAGCACGTCCGCACTGTCGAGAACAAGCTTGAGGCCGAGACAGCTCGTGCCGCTGATTACGCTTCTCAACTCCACCAGCTGCAGGAAGCCGCGAACCGGTCTGCGGTCGAGGACGACGCCAACGGTACGCTCAAGGTCAAGGAGCTCCAGGACAAGAACGCCGCCAAGGACGTTCAGATCGCCGCCCTCGAGGCCGCCCTCAAGCAAGCTAATGAGAAGAAAGCCGACGTGGACCGATGGGAGGTTGCAAAGGATGTCTACCGAGCCAAGAAGAACAGCCGCCTCAGCGTTCGCAGTGCGACTGACAACATCATGAAGGACTCGGAGGAGATGCGCACCCGTGCTCTTCGCCGCACTGCCGATGCGACGGAGAAGAACTCGGCCGAGGAGCCGCGTCGCGACCTGAACCAGGTGTTCCAGATTTGATCGAGAAGGATGAAATTCTCTGGCTTGGGGTTTTGGCTTTGAGCAGGCATGTTGCAGGTTGGTAATGATGAACAATGGACAGGCACGGAAGGACGTAAATAGCACATTGGTGTAGCAAGACGGTCCTCGTCCGAACAAGTCAATCGAGATGATTTGGTATTGCTAAAATTCTCTGTTTGATGTGAAATTGTTGTTAGACCGGACACATCGTGACACTAGTCCAACATACTGCACCACCTCTCCTCCATCATCTCCTTCTCTCTTATTCCTCCTTATGCCCAATCCTAGGCAGGCAAAGCCACAGCCCAAGCATGACCCCCAAACACGCTAGGATAATGGGCTGCAAGACCTGCACACCCTTCGCCTGCGCCAACACACCGACCGCAAACGGCAGAATCGCCGCGCCGCTCCCGCCAAACGCCGCCGCGAACCCGATGGTGCTCACATGCAGGTGCCGCGGCAGCAGTTTCGTCGCCGCGACCACGACAGCCGGGAAGAACGGACCCAGGAAGAAGCCCTGCAGCGCGACCGCGACGGCGGACACGTAAAACTGCGGGACGAGCCAGAAGAGCAGCTCCAGCCCCATGGCGACGGGGATGTAGATGGCGACGGCGAGCTTGACGCCGAGCTTGGGGGTGACGAAGCCGAGCAGGGCGCGGCCGAGGGTGATGCCGAGCCAGAAGCCGACGGAGGTCATGCCCGAGTCGAAGGGGTTGGCCTTGCGGACCTGGATCATGAACTGCACGATCCAGCCGCCGAGGGAGACCTCGACGCCGACGTAGGCGAGGAGAAAGACGGCGCAGAGCCAGGAGACGCGGGCGTAGGGGCGCTTGAAGAGGGCGGCGCGCATGGTGCTGTTGCCGCTGCCGGTCGGGGAGGCGGCGTTTGCCTGGGCGATGGTCTCGCGGTAGACGGCGCCGGTTTGGGTCCAGAAGGCGGAGGTGCACCAGACGAGCTCGATGACGGCCATGCCGAGCTGTGTGCGATTATTAGCGTTGGGGGGGACAGAGACAGAGAGAGTGACACGTACCAGGACGTAGTAGAACGTCCACCAGCCGAGCTTCCCCTTGTCGATCATGGTCGTGGCGATGAGCGGGCTCAGGACGCCGCCGGCGCCGTAGAAGGCGTGCAGGAAGCCGAGGACCTCGTTGGCGCGGTCCATGTTGCCGATGTAGGCGTTCCAGGCGGCGTCGGAGATGCCGTTGCCGAAGCCCGCGAGGATGTAGACGACGACGAGGGCCGGGTAGGGCGGGTGCTGGGAGATGACGACGTAGGCGGCGATGTGGCATGAGGAAGCGATGACGGCGATGCCGCGCTGGCCGACCTTGAGGTGGATCCAGTTGTTGAGCAGGGCGGAGAGGACGTAGCCCACAAAGGGGGAGAGGAAGACCAGCGAGACGACGACGTAGGAGAGGTTGTAGTATGATTCGAGCTGTTGGCGGAGGTTAGGCTGAGCTTAGTGAGATGAAGATGAGATTAGAGTGAGCACTCACGTAGGGGATCAAGGCCTGGGAGTGTGTGTCAGTGGTTTGAGCTGTGAGATGAGAGACGAGAGGTGACTTACACCGTAGGCGGCGTCATTTGCGCCCGAGACGAAGAGACTCCAGAAGCACGAGAGCACCCTGTTCGCGTTGGCCCTGGGATAGTTCCATTTCTGGGTGACGGTGGCCGTTGTCGTCGGCGCCGGGAGACCGCCGGTGACGTCCTCATTCGAGCCCAGGCTGTGGCCTTCGGAGTTGAGTAGCGTGGCGTTCTTGGGGGTGGGAGGACGGTTCAGCTGTTGCAGCTGGACGGTCGAGGTTGACGATGTGGCCGCCATTTTTTCAATGCCGACGATGGCACGGGGGCACGGTCGAGGGGAACTGAGTTCAATGGGAAGTTGGCCAAGAGTCTGGCTCGGATTCTTGCGTCAATAGGTTGAGACTGGACCAAGCTCCTCCTGGAAGGAATGGGGGAAGCGAGGGGGGAGGCAGATTTTATATGATAAGTTGACGTAGGACCGACAGGGGGGAGAAAATCTAGCAAACCATGTACGCAATTGGATCTATCTGAACGGGTGTATGTAAAACATGCGAGCATGTGGGCTATGTCCAGGCGGCTCTGCGAAAAGCTCCTCCTCCTGCACCCCGGTTTCCCCAGCTTACGGGAGTCACCAGCTGGGATTTCTCACACCCCTAGCACGGAATACATTTCTCTGTAGGCGGAGCGGTGATGCAACTCGGGTAGCTGACATGAGTCAAACGGATCGCGCGCCCGACCGACCCAAGAACGAAAAGCAAAGAAAAACCACGAGGTCAACTTTAGGTAGGTCGATCCGCCGGTAAACCGTGTGAGCGGCAGAAGATTTATGCAGGCGGTTGAGCTGGGCCGAGTCACCGGCGCGGTGTTGACGCCCTCTCATTTGGCCGGCAAATCTCCGGGTCTGAACTTTTGCGGGGCTTCCTGGCCCCAGAGAACCGGAAGCCAAATCCCGCTTGGGCAATTGGGGGATCTGTATCCGGATTGGGAGCATCTGCCAACTGCCCCCCCAGTGCGAGTGCGTGGGCACGTCCGGCGGTGGGCAGCTCCGCTAGGCTCCGCTGCCCCGCCCGTTGCGAACGACATTCCGCGCCGGTTTGTTTTGTCGGTGGCTCGCCGTTTGCCCACGAGGTTTAGGCGACCCGGGTTGACCGACAGGCCGAGACGATCTTTGGATGTGACATGACATATAATGAGCGGAAGATTCAAACTTTTGCCAAGTTTTGAGAGGATTTTGAAGGGTCCATTAAGTTTGCGATCAAGTTCATACGTAATCGTCAATTTGAAAGAACAACAAAAAAAGGATGGCAACAAAACAGAAGAGGCTCGAATGATTTCTACGTTGATGGCCAATGGTCCAAAAATCAAGTCATACGACGACAGAATATCACCTTCAGTCCTACGGCAAAAATTCTGGGCCCTCGTCGTCTCTTCAGGCTTGTAGTCTCTCACCAAAAATGCTGGCCTACTACATATGCCATTCTCGGAAATTATCAGCCATGCACCCGTAAAGAGATTCTTCAACGGGCTCTTCATATCTTTCAAGCCGGTGTGGTTTTAGTTCTAGACAGTTTAAAACTGTTCTCATAGAAATATATCATCTATTTTCTTTTTCTTTCTCATGTTGGCATGCTCGTCATGTCTTGCCTTGCCTGCTGCGCGCCGGAATTGGGCGGCGAGAACACCGAGTGTGATAGTGACCGTGAAGAAAGCACAGAGGCAGGACATGAGAGAGAGTAAACGACGAAGGCAGGGCCGAGAGCCAATAACAACTAACGTAATTGCATCAATACGGGAGGACCAAGAGGAACCACTTCTTTATATCGCTGCTCGTACCAAACTTGGTCCGCATCTCTGAGTAACAACCGCATGCAGATAATTACAACCTTGTCTCGAGGATGGCACGACATAGGTATTACAAAAGCAGATTCAGAGCATCAAAGTGTCTTAAGTTAACCAACCCACCAGAATGAAAACCCAGAAACGAAGGCAGCCCACGCAAGGGCCCCCCATCGTGTCAATCATCCCCCTCCGGTAGCTGCCACATGCGAGCCCGACCAAATCATGCTGCGCCTGATGCTACCACTAACCCCAGTCATCACTGACCCGAGCTCTCGGATCGAGCAAGTTCTCTAAGGCAGGGATCCGTCCCAGAGCAGAGGGCTCCTTCCGGCGTCCCGTCTCAACAGTCTTCGGCACTGCATGAGCTTCGGGCCGTCCCGCTGCTCAACGGCACCTTACCCGGCAAGTGCGTCAGTGGACCAGATGCCCGGCCGTCGAAAGTACGAGTGTCCCTGCTCGTCATATATATGCCAAGGCACAGCAGCGGGACGTCCATCCTGATGCTGTGCTGCGGATTGCATTTTGGGATTCCGAGAAGCTCCGTAGGGGCCGAGGCGACAACGGGCTGGAGATACCTCGGCGTCTACGCTGGCAACATGCCGAGGCTCTTACTCACTTACAGGACCACGGTGGAGTTGAGGCGCCGCCAGTTTCCGAATTGACGTCGAGCTCACGAGCTAGATCCATGTTTGTGTGGTCATTATTCAATTCGCACTCATCGAGCGTTACCGAGAACTCTTGGGGGCAGCATTGTACAGGTGTTATTGCGACAACTCATACAGGGTAGTCATATGTTTCCCCCCCTTCTTGGGGGGATGATCGTGTGTGTCCAGTCTACCCAGTCTATCGTTCCGCGCCAGCCATTAAGCCGATCGATCTATCGTTTCGCTCCGGCACCATACACAAAAGAAGCGAAGAGAGACAGTTACACAGAAAACAAAGAAAATGAATAAGTTTCAAGTCCCAGTGCCAAATGAGGCAGTAAACAATCGTAAACGCCTAGAACGACCTAACTGATCCTCGTACTTATTCTCGGGAAATGTCACGGCCAAAGACCTTGGACTTCAGCCAGTCGTTGATGACCAGGAGACGGTTGCGAGCTGAGCGTTGTTAGTCTTTTTCAATCTCGACCAGGGAAGTTATGATGGGAACTTACTGCTGAAGCACATGGAAAGGTAAGCGGAGCGCCAGAAGAGGTAGGTCATGCTACCACCGCTAGCAATGTTGCCGTTCCACCAGCTGACATCGGCAACAGCCTTCTCGCTGCCGATGTAGGCCAGAGAACCCTGGTGAGAGTAGTGGAAGGGCTTGATGTCCTTGATGCGACGGAGCTGGCGCTCGTGGGCCTCAATCTCCTTGGCGACCTCGGCAGCGTTGCCGGGCTTAACGTTCAGGTTCGCGCTGAGCTCCTGAACGCGGGCCTCCAGAGACTCTGTCCTGGCCATGTTGTTGAAGAGCTTGGCCAGGAAGTTGCCCTCCTGAGCAGCGACCTGGGCAGTAGGGGCGTAGCCAGCAACGGCACAGTCACCAATGGCCCAGATGTCACGGGCGCCCTGGACAACGAGGTACTCGTTCACGGCCAGACCGCGGCGGGAGTCCTTCTGAGCGGGGATCTTGGAAATGAGGTCGCGGACGATGGGGCGGACAGCGTTACCAGTAGCCCAGACGAGGAGACCGTAGGGGATGGTGAGAGTCTGCTGCTTTCCGTCAGGGCCAGTGGCCACGGCCTCAACGGTCTCGTTGGTGACCTTCTTGACCATGGTCTTGGTCAGGATGTCGATCTTCTCCTCCTCAAAGGTCTTCTCCGTGTACTCAATAAGCTGCTTGGAGAAAGACGGCAGGACGTTGGGGAGGGCCTCGATCAGGGTGACCTTGAAGCGGTCGGCGATCTCGGGGACCAGACGCTTGATGTCCTCCTCGAAGAAGTCTTGAAGCTCACCGGCGAACTCGACACCGGTGGGTCCACCACCGACAACAACCATGTGCATGAGACGGCTGATGTCCTCGGCGGACTGGTCCTTGAAGGCGGCGGTCTCGACACAGTCCATGATCTTCTTGCGAATAGCCTGGGCGTCACCAATCTCCTTCAGGAAGCAAGAGTTCTCGCGCACACCCGGGATACCGAAAGTGGCGTTCTCAGCTCCGACACCGACAACCAGCATGTCGTAGGAGACCTGGGTCTCGGACATGGAGCCCTTAATTTCCGAGTTATCCACGACCTTGACAACCTTCTTGACGGGGTCGATAGAGGTGGCCTCGGCTTCGTAGAACTTGACGGCGGCCTTCTTATGGCGGAGGATGGTTCGGATAGGCTCCATGATGGAGCGGTGCTCAATGGTGCCGGTCGTGCATGAGGGGAGCAGAGGAGTGAAGAGGAAGTAGTTTCTGGGCGAGATGACAACGACGTTGTAGTTTTCCGTGTCGAGCTTCTTGAGCATGGAGACAGATCCCCAGCCAGTGCCTGGCGAGCAGAGTCAATATCAAAATGTCGCAATAACAGGAGCGGGCCGAGTGAATGTACCCAGGATAACCAGAGTCTTCTTTGTGGGGTCAAACTCGACCTGGTCCTCAAAGTGCCTGTCCTCGTAGACTTCATATCCGACGTAGGCGAAGAGACCGAGAGTCGAGAGGTAGGTCAGGCGCCAGACCCATCTGAAGGTCTTGCGAATCTTGCCGGGCCTCTTAGGAGCGGCATCGGCGTACTCTCTGCGGAACTGGCGCGCGACGGTCCTGGAAACAGCTGCAGCAGCTGGCCTCGCGGCGACGGTGCGCAGGCCCGTTCTCGTGGCGGTGGTGAGGGTTCTGCGACCGGCGCTGGCAGCATTGCGCGGAGCTCTCGGGGCGAGCTGGGCGGCCGCGCGAAGGGAGCTCATGGCTCTGGCGGACGAAGCCATTGCTTCAATTGTCGATGGGAGGGAGGTCCCCGGTGACCGTTTGGGGAATGAGGAGTGGGTGAGGAAGGCGACGATGCAATGGAAGAGAAGGGGAAGGGAAGGGAAGGAAAGAAAAACAGAACGATGCCGGAGGGGAAGGGCAACGATAAGGATGACCGGCTTCCCAGGTTGTGTGCGTTGGTGTGTGTGACGCACCTGGCAAGAGAGATTTAGCTGGCGGCTGGACCCTCCCAAGTCGGCGGTATTTTTTTCGCAGCTTGCAGAAAATTTCAGATGCTACGGGGGTGAGGTCAGAGATAGCGCGCTCCGCTGCTGGTATCGACGGAAGCTTGGACGCAAACGAGGGGCTCTGATTGGGCCGACTGGGCGCGGAAGTCTGTGGCCGACTGCGCTGTCGCTGACAAGAAGGAAGGTCTTGGCCGAATTACAGGGGAACCACTGCGTGGATACAGGGCACCTCAGGCACCTTGGATCCCGTCGTTGGCGGGGAGTATTCCCGCGCACAGCACACTGCAGCCGCGTCCCAGACGTCTCTCTCTTCCCCCAATGGAGCGCTTGTTTTTTC